CACCGACCCATACACGGCACCGACACATACACGGCACCGACCCATACACGGCGCTGACACATACATGGCACCGACCCATACACGGCGCTGACACATATGGGGGGATAGTTCTGTCTGGCAGGTAAAGCGGTCACATGTCCCGGTCACTCTGCCGGCTCCTCCCACACACATCCATTCACAGAGAGGTCAGGACGGCGGCGGCCAATCTTCTCTCTTCCTCATTTTTGGGGGTTTTTCATATTTGAGACGTTTTTATAAATTCTCTTTCTAGAGACGCGAGAACGTTCCGCGGGATAAAAGTCGCCGATTTACAAAGAAGGTTTTTGGGGCATTTTCCCGGTTTTCTGTATTTTGGTTTTCGAAGTTTTTTATACAAATGGATCCGAATATCAAATGAACATATTTAAAGAGACAGTACACTGTTATTTCAGGGGGGGGGGCGGTCACAGGTATGTCACTCACCTTGATGCACGCTCCGGTGGTCGTCTCGCAGACGGTCAGAATTGAGATGTTCTGCAGCCGGTTCAGCCAGCGGACCACGGTTCTGGTGTTACTGATCCACTTCACCATCGTGATGTAAAAATCCCTGAGGAGGAGATCAGAGAAGATGTCACCGAATCCCAGACCGCATCATTCACCGACCGGAATCCCTGACCGCACCATTCACCGACCGGAATCCCAGACCGCATCATTCACCGACCGGAATCCCCGACCCCACCCATTCACCGACCGGAATCCCTGACCGCACCATTCACCGACCGGAATCCCTGACCGCACCATTCACCGACCGGAATCCCAGACCGCATCATTCACCGACCGGAATCCCCGACCCCACCCATTCACCGACCGGAATCCCTGACCGCACCATTCACCGACCGGAATCCCTGACCGCACCATTCACCGACCGGAATCCCAGACCGCATCATTCACCGACCGGAATCCCCGACCCCACCCATTCACCGACCGGAATCCCTGACCGCACCATTCACCGACCGGAATCCCTGACCGCACCATTCACCGACCGGAATCCCAGACCGCATCATTCACCGACCGGAATCCCCGACCATCCCTGACCGCACCATTCACCGACCGGAATCCCAGACCGCATCATTCACCGACCGGAATCCCCGACCGCACTATTCACCGACCGGAATCCCTGACCGCACCATTCACCGACCG